GTGTGTGTGTGTGTGGGGGGGGGGACATTAGATTCTCATAGGAGTGCAAACCCTTGTGAACTGAGTTTGCAAAGGATGTAGGTTGTGCACTCCTTATGAAAATCTAATGCCTGATTATCCTCCTTCCCCATCCCTGGAAAAATTCCCTTCCAAAAAAAGTTGGGACCGCTGGCCTAACCTATCTGTGTTTCCACTTGGTTTTCTGAAATCTCCGTAAGGAGGATTATAGTCATACTACCTTGTAGGACTATAACGTTTATTATAAGGATTGAGTTAAATAAAACATGTAAAGCACTCAAAATAGTGTTGAGCACATAGTAAGTGCTCATTAAGTGTTGTTATTATTTTCATCATCTGAGGTTTTCATGGGGGGTATTTATATGTGCACACGGCGAACCTAGATTATAAGCTCCTGAGGGCAGGAACTGCATATTTTCCTGTGGTGTTCCCTGAAGCTTTTGGGTCAACCTCTGGCTCCCTGTACTTTCGAATAAATAATAGAGGGTTGGCGGCAATGTAGGGGGTTGCGCATTAGCTGTAATCTGTAGACAGGTGGGAGCACCACAGCTCTAGAATCACAACACAGACTCTGAATGGAGTGTGTGTCTCAGGACTGTTTATTCATCACCCTCTGACAGGAAAGTGACAAAGACTGAGTGATCGTCATTCACTTGTATTCCTGGAGCAATCTGGTCGACCCCAGAGTGATCCCAAGTGACCCACGTCTGTGGGCAGCAGGTCAGAGCTGGAGTTCATCTTAAGACTTTCTTGGAATGGACCCAGGGATTCCCGACAGAGCCCGAAGGTAGTCTACCTCCATCTTCCTTGACAGACTCCTCCATTACAGAGTACCTTAGGCAGAAAGTCCCGCAAATGGAGCCTTCTGTCTCTGGGTACCAGATGCGCATGAGGTTGACTCTCTAGGAGATACTCATTAGATGTCCCTCATCTCCTCCTTCCCAAGTGCTTTTAAATCAAGCCCCAAGTTGAGCACATTTTCTCTGCCCTTGTTCCGGGCTGCCCTTGTTCCAGCCACACCACCCCCACCTCCATTCCAGCCACTCCAAAGCTTAGAGAAACACACCAGTCATCGCAGCTCCACAGAGAAGTGCATCATCGCTGGTACAGCAGCTCGCCTGGATCCCCCCCACCGCAAGAACCAATGTTTGCTCACTTGCGGGGGATATTGCCCCCATTAAGAATGTACTTTTCAGTCAGTCCTGCGCCTTGAATACCCCACATCTTACCAGCAAGAGCTCATTTTACCATCATTTTGCTAAGTAACAAAGCCTGCTGTGGTGGGAGGGAGGCAGAGCTAGGTCCGTGGAATGAGGTCTGCCTGTGGAGGAAATGCTGGCTCCTCTCCTGGGTGGTGGGAATCATGAGGTCACCTGTGCCCCAAGAGAGTGGTCCAGCCTGTCTGGTGTATACACAAGGGCACACTGCTTGTGCTGTAGGATTTCGCCTTATGATGGTGATTGTGAGGTTACCTGTCTCTGGAGAGAGTGGCTCAGCCTGCCTGGTGTGTACAGAAGGTTACACTGTGTGTGGTGAAGGATTTTACCATAAATTACAAGCACAAGAATGGGAATCAGAGCCCTTGGGCAGGTAGAGAAGAGTTGTGCAGAGGATGGGCCAGGCCACAGTGGAAAGGATGGGCCACTCTGGAGGAATATGAGGATGCAACCACAAGAGCGCCCCACACTTTCTCAAGTGCACACGGTGCACCACATGGCATCTATGAGGATGAGGAGAGCAAGAGCCATGACATTGTCTTTGGAACTTTGGTGGGAAGGCCACTGTGCTGTAGATTCTCCTCTCAAAAGACACGTGGCTTCTGTGGAGGAGTTCTGGGAACAGCACATAGGTATCTCTAAGCCAGCCCAGGTGACAGGACCTTTGCACAGAGGTCCAAAAGTTGGGCCCAGAAGGTATGACTGACAATTTTACCTCCAGCTGGCACGTGGCAGGAATGCTGTCTTGGCAAGGTGAAGCCTCATGACTGGGTTTTCAAATCCATGAAAAATGTGAGTCCCCTGTCCAGAAAATGTATGTAGGCTTACACAAATTTTGTATTTGATTTCAGAAAGTTCATGGCCCATGGCTCTGGGGGACTTGATTTGGAATACGATGAGACCTCTTGCTGCTCAGTTTCAAAGAGATGTTTGTACCTCGGTTAATAATGATATTGTTGTGTCATCATTTGTCATATTTCAATATTTAACTTTCCAAAGTTCTTGTCCAGGATAGCAATCTGGATTTTCAATGTTGTGTCAATGAAGACTGCTGTCTCTTCGCCGGGGCATCATTACACTCAGTAAGGCTATAAATGGGCTCACCCTTGGAGACTGTGTACTCAGGACAGCTCAGATCTTGGGCAGCTGATTTGCCTGGCAGGTGCGGGTGTGTTATTGAGTCATTCCAGAATCTCAAAGAGATATTTGTTAGAGGAAGCAG